CCTTCGGGTCTCTGGTGGCTGTCACCCTTAGCATTGAGGCCTTTCTTGGTGGCCTGCATAAGGTGGCAGCAATCACCTCGCCCCCGCCCCCCCCCACTTGTAAGCCCCTTTACCCTGCCTAATGCTTCTCCATTGCCCGGATCACCATTTGACAGACGATGGACAAATTAACAACCTGTCTTGTCCCACTAGAAGAAGAGCTCCATCAGGGTTGGGACTTTGCCGTTTTGTTCACCATTGAATTCCCAGGACCTAACACCAGGTTCTCAAGGATGAATGAATGAACTACTGACACTCACAAAGCAGGCGCCTTCCTCAAGCCTCCACTCAGACTTCCATAGCCTTCCCACCAGCCTTCTCACCTCAGGCTCTCCTCTTTCAGTTCCCTCCTCCACATAGTAGCCAAATTGAGCACCCTAAACATCATACCTCTGGTGAACCACTCTCCTGCTCTAAAACTTCCACTGGCTCCCCCTTGCCTCCCAGATACAGTCCCCTTGCTCTGGTGTTCTCCTCGCCCCCCCAGCCTTTGGCTTCACTGCTCGGCTTTCTGCACCTTCTCCTCCAGCATCATGGGATGGTGTCCTTTCTTTAAATGTGGCCTTTTCTTTTTCACCTCTGTACAACTACTCATGCTGTGCCCTCCAGTTATTTTCTTCTCACCCATGTGCATTCTGCCCATGGAAATCCTACCCATCTGGAAGCTCCCTCCTCCACTGCCTCTCCTGATTCCCTCTGCCTCCTGAATTCCCACCCTCCCTTGGTATTTATCATGGGGGACTGGGGTTCTATGAACATACACCCTCCCTTCCTGGCTGGCCTCAGCACGTTTATGTGAATCTGCTAGCGTTGGGTCCTGGGGACACCACTGCCTCCGTTCTCATAGGGCCAGCAGTGGGGCCAGTGGGGAGGGGCACCTCGGAGGAAGCCTGTAGGTTCCAGCTGGCCTCAGGGCTGGGGCTGCTTCTGCTCTGGCTCCCCTCGGGCCTAATGAGATCTGGGCTCCAGACCTGGCTCGGACCCTTACTAATTATGTTCTCTCTCTCTTGAGTCTCAGTTGCCCCACCTGTAAAATGGGGACAAGCCGACTTCTCTTACAAGTTGCTCATGTTGTTCTTGAACTTGCACTCCAGGGAACGCGCCATGCCCTCTTGTTTTTAAAGCCCACTGAGTTCCAAAGGGGTCCCTTCGCCAAGCCCGCTAGGGCTATCTGGCTCCCGCTCCCCAATGCCCTCGAGGGGAGAGAGCCAAATGCCCTGCCTTGCCAAGAGCTGAAGCTTCTCTCTCTAGGGGTGAGAGCTTCAATGACAAACTGGAAGCCTGTGGGGCCCGGCTCTGTTTTTCCTCAGCACCAGGAGGCTTCCTGTTCCGGGGGACCGAAGGCTTGGAGAGGCCCTCCACAAACCCTACGCTGAAGCTTCTGGAACATCAAATGGTCTTAAAAACCAACTGATTTAATGATTTCAGTGTACATGCATTAGAGTCATATGGATTAAATTTCTCTGAAAATACACAAGGGCTTTAAAAACAGGGACAGAGAAGGCTCCGCACAAGAGGAATTTGTTTTCTCTTTTCCATTTTGTGTGTCTGTGTGTGTTGTTATTGTTGCTTAACCTGAGGCATGTGAAAAACTGTTCAAGATATCTGAAGCACTGTGTCCAGTCAGCTTTGCCCAGTTTGAGTTTAGAGTTGGGGGCGTCATGGACAGGAGGCGAAGGGTTAAGAAAATAAAGTGGCATCCCCACCAGGTCTGTCCCCTCATCCTCCAGCTGTTTCCATCTGGCTCGGGTGCCCTTGATGTTCAAGGAGGCCCACAGCCTAGTAAATGGGGGCCAGGCCTCGTCAGCATCTGTGGTGGAAGACAGCTGGGGGGCCTTTTCTGTGGCAGGGCTGGGACCTGGGTATTTGGGCAGGGGCTGGGGGGTGATGTTGTTCCCCATGGGCATGTTCCTCCCTCCAGCAGAGAAGGTGGTCCTCAGGAACCCCCACCCCCCTGCTAGAGTCTCCTGGGGAGCTCTTTAAAACACAGATTCCCTGGCTTCACTGCAGGCCCAGGGGATGCAGGCCAAGGCGTGCCAGCTCTGCCGTGAGGGCCGGGAGCCAGGTCCACACTCAGGAGGCAGGAAGAGCCTGGGTCAGAGGGAGGCTCTCAACCAAACTGCCAGAGGCCCGATTTCAGGTTTGGCTGCTTGCTCGCTGCAAGCAACTCAATCCCCCATTTCCTGCTCTGCACATTCACATTGGGGGTATTCTTTGAGCTTGCCTAGCACCCTGAGATATGTAAGTTCATATCCATTTTATACACGAGCAAATAGAGGTGCAGGGAGACAGAGAGAGCGTCTCCCAAGCTCTCCCTCCAAGCCTCCATCTTTGGACTGCAAACCTTTGCTCGCACTTGTCTTCCCTTTGAGGTGCCTCCTGGCAGGGTGTTGAATCAACATGTCCCACTGGGGCTGTCCCCATGTATCATTTCCAGCCAGCATCCCCCAAATCACACTGGCATCAACCTCTTTCCCTATGATCAGCATCCACAGAGGCTTATGTTTGAATACAACTCTTGGGATGCTGCCTACAGGACAGGAAAAATGGGGGGCAGAGGGGAAGCAGAGAGGGAAGCAAGGAAGTAGGGTGAGCAGGGGTGTCCCTGCAGTGGGGACAGGGATTCCTGAAGGGTCCCGTGTGCCCCTGATCGTTCTGCATGAGCTGTGGCTCCCTGGGGCTCCAAGGCCTCTCTCTGGCTCTCCCAGCCAAGGTCAAGTGGCTCCCGTGCAATGCCCCTCCCCTCCCACGATGTACCCGGATCAGCCAACGGGACCAGGAGTTGAATCTATCCTACATTTCTGCTCATCTAGGCCCATCCTCCAAGACCCCACTCAAACACCCCTCTTCTGTGAAGCCCTCCCAGAGACCCCAGGCACAGGGATTTCTCCTTTCAAACTCTGGCTGAGTTTCTTCTATGAGCAAGATGTGCTGGGGGATGAAGATGGTGTCCAGGAGGGGAGATATGCCAGGGGCCTAAGTGACTCCTGCACAAGGTAGGGAGTGATATTGCCGCCAGAAGAGAGGGCTTGGGAAAGGTCAGGCCATTTTAGGCGAGGAGAAAGATCCGGAGAGCCTCATGGGGAAAGTGGCCTCACAAAGAGGAACATAATGAACACCAGCTTGTATTTTGTCTTGTAGTACGTTTTAATTATTTCAAGGATATTAGTGTGGCGTCCTCAAATGGTCCGTGAGTTATTTGAGAGTGAAACCATGCCTTACTCATACTAATATTTTGCAGAGCCTAGTGAAGCTTATTAACAGAAGCTTAATAAACAAATATTAGTCAAAACAAATTCAATCTTGCCAAAACCAGTTCTATTTCACCCTTAACCCTTCATACCATGTGCAAAGTATGGATGCTATGCCTCTTATATTTGGGTGGGTTGAGAGAGGTTTAAATCATTAATTTAGTCCTTCAAAGCACGTTCTTTCAAGCATCTACTAATTGCCAGGGAGTGTACCCCTTATTTTAGGAAAAAAAGACAACAAAACAGGCAATCCCTATCCAGTTTGAAAAACATCGTAAATAAATGAAATACGGAACCCTATGGGGCAACTCATCCAGTCATGGGAAGGGATGGTCAGAGAAGTGAAATTTCAGTTGGTGAAAGAATATGAAGGAGGACTTTCAATTCTAGCCATAAACCAACTATGAAAGCTCCATTAAACACATGGAACAGCCATTTTCAGGCACTGGACAGGAATCAATGCAGAGCTCAGTACTTGAGAAAAGGGAAGAACAGCAGCTAACCCCACAGTCAGCCTCGCTCTCTCCATGAAGGCATCTTCCTTATTTTGGCACAGGGGAATGGAATCCAGAGAGCAGCAGTCTTGCTGGGTGGAGGAAACAGTAATTGGAGTTGGAGCTGAAACTTAGATCTGGTAGGGGCAGGCAGAAGGAAGAGAGCCACAGAGAAAGAGTCCCCAAAACTCTGCTGAAGTTTTCCCCCAGGAACCTTGGCTGACTCCTAAGCTGTGTATGTATTAGTGGGAGACTCTAGAAAATCTGTTAGAGAAGAGCCGCTGGGGGAAGAGATTTTAGAGGCTGCCCAGTGCTTGGGAGATGTTGGGGTACATGCTCATTCTGAATGGAGAAACTTTAATGAATAGTGTGGGCTTTCAGTTGAGATCCCGGAAAATCCATGTCCTAGGGATAAAGACCACAGCCTAAGAGTAAGGACAAAACAAGATGATATCTGCCCTAACCAAGGCCCAAACCAAGCCATGGTAAGATCTAGGTGGTTTCCTCTATATTTTAATTGCCTATCAGAACAAAATGTATAATTCTTTTTTTTTTTTTTTTAAGATTTTATTTATTTGACAGAGAGAGACACAGTGAGAGAGGGAACACCAGCAGGGGGAGAGGGAGAGGGATAAGCAAGCTTCCCGCAGAGCAGGGAGCCCGATGTGGGACTCGATCCCAGGACCCTGGGATCATGACCTGAGCTGAAGGCAGTCGCTTAACCAACTGAGCCACCCAGGTGCCCCAAAAATGTATAATTCTTTAAAGGAAGGTAACATAACCTAGAGCCTCTACTGTGTACCATTCACAATGTTCAACATAGAATAAAATAAAAAATTACTGAAGAGGCAAAAAGAATCAGGAAAAAGTGACTGATAATCATAAGATGAAACAGTCACTAGAAGTAGACCCAGAGATGATCCAGGTATTGGAGTTAGCCAAGGACTTCAAATGGGAGAAAGACAGATAGTAACTACTGGTTCTGGGATGCCTGCTACCTGTGCTGTTTTTATCCCCATTTTTCAGATGAGAAGATCGAGGGCCTGCTATGGAATGCTTGAGGTTTCATAGTCAGGGGCAGACCCTATGCAGCCGGGACAGGAAGTCAAGTCACTGGATGTGGGGGTGTCTATATGTGAGGGCCACGTCGGGCAGCTGGTAGAGGGGCCAGGTATGGGGAGGTCCAGGGCTGGGTGGGGTGGCAGCTCTCACTTACCACTTCTTGCCACCAATGTCATGCTGTTGCACCGTGTAGCCGAAGAAGGCAGCCCTGGAGCCAGCGATGATTCGAGGCTTCCTGGTGTCCATGTTGAAGGTGTCTGTGAGCCCTGGAGTGGGGAGAAGAGGGTGGTCAGGCAGGCGGAGGTGTGGGCCACAGCGGCTTGATGGGCCCCACTGGCAGGTCTTGGCTGTGAGAGGAGTATGTTCGCCTGTCCTCGGGGAGCCCCTATATGAAATGGTTAATGTAGTCCCCGCTTGGAGGAGCCCATGGTCTGATGGGAGAAGGCCCAGCCCCTGCCCTGTGAGAGCCATAATCTGATAGGGGAGGCATAAAACCTACTCCTAGGCAGACCAGGTCTGACTGGGAAAACCAGGTCCCTCCTTCTGAGGATTCCTGGTCTCAGGATGGGGTGGGACAATACTGCTCCTTTCCTCCTCCACCACTCCTACCTCCAATTCTGCTTCTAGTTTCTGCTCTCTTCTTCCGTTTTGTTCTCTATTTTCCCTCCTTTCTCCTCCTCCTCTACCTCTTGTTCTTTCCTCTCCTCCTTCGTCTCATTTCTGCCTGTTAAAGAGTTGAGGAACTAACTTCCCACCTGCCCCCCAAGCCTGGGTTCCCTAAGGGCCAATCCTCCAACTCTGCTGGTTCACCACCACCTTCTGAACCAATTTGTGAAGCTCTGCCTGGCTTCAGTTGGGGCCACGGCTTGGCTGGGACAGCTGATGCAAAGTAGAGGAACTGTCCTATAACCCTTTCACCCTGGCCTCTACGGTCTGCCCTGTTTAGTTAGGTCATATGTCAATGAACCAATTCCACCTGCTGGAGGGCCTTGGTGTTGAGCTTTTGGCATTCTTGTGCCAAATCACAACCAAAAACAACTCACATCTGCATGGTAGCCTGGGTTTCTGGGTCTCCTCACATCTGTCATTATTTTCCTTCACAGAACCTTGGGAAAATAAACAAGCATCATCTACGTTTGGCAGAGGGGGTTTCAGCCCCAGAGAGATTAAGAGGCTTGTCCAGGGATGCACAGCAAGTCAGTGGTAGCACCAAGAACTAGGACCTCAGATGCCTGCTCTTTGACTCCTTCCCTCCACGAGGCATTTTCAGGGCATGTCTGGCCTCCTTACCCATCATCACTAACAGGAACACCAAACTTGGGACCCATGGAATTTCAGGGGTGGGATCCTACCCTTAGACCAAACATTCAGATTAGTGAAATATAATCAGTAGAATAGAATAGAACAGAATAGAATAGAATAGACAGAATATCATTGTCACTCCTTTCATGTGTAGGGGACTTAATGCATTTCAAAAAATATCTACATATATGTTACCATTTGACCTCCATGACAACCTTGTGATGTGGGTAGCAAAGGGTGGCCTACTAGACAGGGACTCTGAATGTGAGGCTTGTACCTTGAGTGTCCCACTGTCCTTCCCGTGGAGACTGAACCCCTGGGTTGAGTGTTTGATGGTGATGCCCAGGAGCACCTGCTTGAACAACACCTCTTGTATGGGGACAAGTACTTTCTTCCACACTTTCTTTTTTGCTCTAAAAATGGATACAGTTTCATTATTAGAGTCACTGAATTAGAGTCCCAGAGGGAAAACTGGAACATCTTGAAGTAGGGATATTAGATGATTGATTATTAGTGCTGCCTAGAGCACTGAGTTAAGAAAGATTCTGAGGTCAAGTCTGTGTTCAGTGGGCAAGACTACTGTGACCCATGAGCAGTGCCTGCTAAGGATCATGGCGGCAAATTGCTATGTAGCTGCCCATCCTGTCTTCATGATTCCTAATCTGCCACATGAATTTAGTGTCATGGCCCAGAGTGGCGGTGGGAGAAGAGGAGTACTTAACCCTTTAGTGTTTTCTTTACAAGGCACAGACCATGAACAGACTTCTCAGCCTGGTTAGCAGCAGGCAGCCTCAGGGAAGAGGACCCTGGTCTGGTGAGCACAGGGGGATGAAGGAGCTCCTGTTCTTGGCCAGTAAGGGCATGTCATGGAGGAGACAGGGACCCTAGTGGCCCCTGTGCAGAGCTGGGAGGTGGGCACCGAGGGGTCAGAGAAGTGGAATTGCAAATGAAGAACTCCAAATCGTACCCATAAATGAACACACACACCCATGCACACACATATACCTGTGCTCACACACATGCAGCACACACAAGTCTGCGCGAGGGCACGCGCACACACACACACATTTATATGCACAGGCCACACACGTTCCCTGATTATGTGCAACACTTTATCTGTCTCCCTGGCGCCCCCTGGAGACACCCCATGGCTGTCCCTGGTCCTCCTCTTTCTGGATCTGACCTCAGCAGCAGGAGGTGGCCGGGAATAAGAGGAAGGCACATTCTGGCTCTCAGGACCCACCCACCGTTTCCAGGCCTGGAGGGCGAGGGCCAGGGGAAATAGGGCCAAATATTGTGTCTTTGAGGTCTTCCCACTACCGGTGCTTCTTGTGTGAACATGGCCTGAGGGATCCTTCTGAGACCTGTGAGGTCCTGTCACTCCTTAGCCCCATCCCCTCCACCTGATTCCCACCCCACTCAGTCAGAGTCAACTCTTCACCTGCAAGGCCCTGCATGACCTCTCCCCAACCCCCGCACTGTTCCCTCTGCCCCTCATTTCCTGTCCTCCCCTCCATCTTTCTGCTCCCGCCATGCTTTCCCTTGTCCTTCCTGCTCAGTGTCTTTGCCCTGGCTGTTCCCTCTGCCTGGAAGGCTCCTCTCCCAGTTACCTGCATGGGTCACCCCTTATGTCACTGGTGTGCCTATTTCAGTGTCATTTTGTCCACCGCCAGGCCACCCCATCACTCTCTATCCCCCTTCTTCATTTCTCCTGACAGCACCGATGACATATATTTGTTTCTAGTCACGTGGCTGATAGTCAATAATATTCTTATGTTCTCTTTAGTGGCATGAGACACTGTTGTGCCCTCACTGCTCAGACTTAAGGCCTGAATAGAGACCTAGCCCTTGGTGCATAGTCATAAGGATCGACTGATTGGATGGTTGGGGACCAGGAGCCACACGGGGCTGGGACGTCCTCCTCCCTCCTTGAGGAAAAGGAGAAAGAAAAGTCTATTTACTGAGCACTGAGATGTTCCAGGCATGATCCTAGGTATCAAACCATCAATTTTACATTCATTAGTTAAATCTCACACCAATCCTCTGAAACAGGTACTATACCTCTGGGAGGTTAAATAATTTGCCCTAAATCACTCAGCTGGGAGGAGATTAGAGCAAGTCCGAGATCAAAGAGCTCACGGCCCTGGGGTGATGTGTTACCCCTGGGGGACCAGCCTTTCATAAGAAGGACCCACTAGGGCGGAGGGAATATTATTATTATTTTTTTAATTAACATATAATGTATTTGTTTCAGGGGTACAGGTCTGTGATCCATCAGTCTTACACAATTCACAATGCTCACCATAGCACATACCCTCCCCAGTGTCCATCACCCAGCCACCCCATCCCTCCCACACCCCTCCACTCCAGCAACCAGAGGGAATATTCTTTTCAGAGAAAGGAGTCCTCCCCGACCTCTGCCCTCAGGTGCCACGTGCTCTGCCTTTGGGGTCTGCTGGGAGAAGCGCATGGAGAGAAGGCAGTCTTCCTGTGCTCCTCCCCTCACTTGGGAGTCTGTCTAGGACCAGTCCAGTCTCCCCCTACCCCCACCCTCAACCTCCAGGGGACAGGATTGGTGAAGCTGGTCGCAGGGAAGAGGACAAAAGCCCTCACTCAGGGCCAGGGTGTTAAGTTACAAAGTGCTGGTTTCTTCCCTGGCTCTGGCATTTGCTTCTGACCAAACGGAGTCGAGAGAATGGATTTCCTAAATGTGATGTCAAGTCCGACACTCTGACCTTGGCTCCCAGAAAGATCTCTGGCTCGCTCCTCTGATGGCAGACGGCTTTCATGCTTGGGGAATGTACTCTTCTCAGAGATTTATGGACCCCGAGTACCAATAAGAAAAAACAAAGTTGTTTTTGACAGGAATCGACAGGCTGATTGCAGAGACACCGGGAGCCTGGCCAGGCAGCTTGCCGCTCCTCTGCCCTGGGTATTGATGACAGAGGAGGGAGACCCATAAAACTTGGGCTGCTCTCCGGTGGACCGAGGCCAAAGTTACATCAGCTGCTGCTCCCTTTTTCAAAAGAATATCTGTCTTTTTAAAAGGCACCAGTCAGTCCCAAGGAGGGATGGCAGCCACAGCCCTGGGCTCGAGCACCCCTCCAGGCTAAGGTGAAGGCCACTGCCCAGCTACCAGGTGGGGCAGTCCCAGTCCCAAATGCTGAGGCACCCTGGCCAACACAACATCCACAGCTACTGCCGGCCAACAGCTCCACGGGGAATGCTCACTCTCGCCTAGGGGGCGGCTGCTGCGCGCCCACACTGTGTGGGTCCATTTTCACTGCTCGCCACCCGCCCCCCGCCCCCCAGCCCTGTCCCAAATCTTCCACGCAGTCCCAAGGCCTCTGCAGACTCATCTTGTGTGAGTTTTCCTCTGGTTTCCTGCAAGGCAGCCCCTTTCTGCGCCCCAGATACCCCTTGCTTCCTCCCACCCTGGGCCTTTGCACCTGCTGCTTCCTCTGCCTGAGCCTCTCTGGCAAACTTCTCATCACCAGTAAATCTCAGCACAAATGTCACATCTCCCCCACACCCCCAGTAGCCTCCCTGACCCCCGATGACACCAGGTCTTGCCTAAGGATCTCATCGCCTCTTGTACTCGCTAATAGGGCTAATAGGTGATGGGTGACTTCTTTTCTTATCACAGTAATTAGATACAGCCGGTGTGAGTGTGGGACTGCTCCTGTCTTCCCATCAGGATGGTGGCTCCATGAAGGCCAGATGGGGTCGGTTCACTCACTGCTGGATCCAGCACCCAGCCCAGGGGCTAGCCCCGAGCACCACTGAGGGGTGAGCCAGACAAGAAGACAGTAGGGAGCCCATCAGCTAGGGAGAGGCACGTGGAGAGTAAGTGCAAGGCTGTGACCACAGGGCCATGGTTGTTAGGGAAGGCAGGGACTGCTGTGGGCTGGGCGGGGGGGGGGAGTCAGGAAGCTTCTGGAGCTGTGATCTCAGCCTGGAAAGG